GTCACGAAACATATGGGCGTAATCATTCTAAAGAAACACAGTGACGCAACATTGTGAGAACAGGCGTCCTTTTTAACTTGAGCCAGAGTAAAAGCAAAAATTAAGCTCTTTTAACAGAACTCACTCAAGCAAAAAGGGCGTTCCAGGTCTTAAGATTAATTTTTGAAGAGAAGGGGGAACGAGTACACTAAATCCCTGGAGAAAAATCCAACGGAGCGTTTTAAGAAGGAAACCCCTGCTTCCCACAAACTAGATTTTATGTGGAGTTGCCCTCACAGTCCGGGGATAGCGCATAGGTGGGTGGTGAATGTCGGATTCAGTTCACCAATGCGCGAGGTTTTGCATGATCTCTCCCATTTGACTTGTAAGTGAAATCCTTGCGCAAGAAAACAAAAAAATAATTAAAAGCTAGTTTATTTTCACTTTACTTTTCTCTTCTTCAGCTTTAATATCGTCTCTGTATTAAAGAGAATTGTATCGTGGTCGAAAGGGGTAGGGTATTGGTAGGAAGGGAAACAAGAAGGGGATAGCAAGTAGTGATGAAATATTTCGAATAAATACCTCCGTTGAAATATCCAGAGGAGCAAGCCATTCCTCCACAGGTGTTTTGAGATTCGAATAAGACATGTCGGTTTTGAGCACTGAGAGAGATTCCGTAGATCCGAAATCTATGAAGTGTGGAAAACATAACAGTATAAGTAATGAGTACTAAATGTGATGCGCAAACATAATATACGTGGCCCATATTTATGTGCTGGTAGAATTTTGAACTCAGAATGACCTCTCTCCCTCCGATTCAGGTTGAGATCGATTACTGAAGGTCGCCATCTTCATTTCATATGGAGAGCGAAATCTAGGTAGAATTTTACTAAACGGTTTTGAAACACTAGTAATTTTTGAATAATCTGCCACTTCGCGGTATTAGTTGAAAGCTTTTCGAGTCAGTACTCTTTCGGTTTAAATCGCCGTTGACGTCGTCACGGATCTTCAAATGAGTAATCTCAGGCTTTTTTAACATTTGCTTCATTAAAAAGAATCTTTCCGTTTGGGACATTAAGAGAATGTATGAAGTGATTCAGGAAGTGAAACGCTTTCGCAGGACTGAATATTTCAGATTCCTTGCACCCTTATGATCTTACCAAGTGATTGGCGGGATAATCCATTTGGTGATTGTAAGTAAATGTCTGGTCGTCCACGGCGTCGGTTCTCTGATCTTTCCGTGGAACACATTTGTGTTCCATCTAAATCTCCCTCGTCTTCTAAGCCATTAACTGAACTCCCTTCTCCGTTATGCCTAGAGGAAAGGGTTAATGTTTCCACCTCGGTATTAGCCTAGAAAAGGAAGTAATCCAAATTTAACTCAGTTGATCATGATTTTTACCTTTTCTTATATATGTTATTGTGTCTTGTGAATGTTCTCACTCAATCAGCTGGCCAGCAGCTCTGTAAATTTATTGGTGCAATCGAAAGGTTTTACATAAGAAAAAGTCTGTTAAACTCCCACAGGACTGGTTTGGAACACTAACGCCGTTACATGATCGCCGTTTCATTGTTTTGGAGCATCAAAATGGCGAACGTGAGTGTGAAAACGTTCTATAGCACCACTGGCTTCTTAAGTCTGCCACTCCATATGCTACATGTGGCATGACTAGGGGAGTGAATAATAAAAGTTTTGCAGAGAAATCAAAAGTCCTGTACTTCAAAGAGTGAGTTGATTATTTCATCATTTCTTTAGTTTTATTTTTGCCTCTGTTTATTTCAGAAAAGAGCAAATCATAGTAAATCCTGAAATAATGGCCCAGTTTTCTACTTACTACAAGTGCATGTCTTGAGCTTCCAATAGCCAGATGAAGACGGAACTGACTGATTATAACTACTTTTTTAAAAGTTAAACTCGTCAGTACCGCTGACGAAGAATCACTTGATGATCTAACTTTCGCCGTGATTAGAATTCAAAGTCGCCATGAGAAAAAGATGACTGAGCGCAAAAAAAAAATAGCCGAGTTTAAAAGCTAATTAAAAATGATTCACCCTGACATCTACAAAATGACATATTTCAAATACCTCCTCTGAAGAATCCTGGTTGTAACTGTCCAGCCAGGCATTTAACATCGGAGAGTGTTTTCTGCGTTTGGGAACGAAGAGGGTAGATTCGCGAGATCCGCCTACTTTAAGGTTAAAATGTGAGGGGAGAAAAGAAAAGAAAAAGTAAACATTTAAATGTGATATGCAAAACATGAGATACTTTGTCCACATATTGTCCTAACAACAAGAAATTATGCTCTTAGCAACGCTGAATGACCTATGATTGAAGCCATCGTACCACACAGACTGAAACGAAATGAACCAGTCGTTCCCAATAGATCATCATTTATCTGATTTGTTGTTGTTGCTGTTGATAAATCACCGAGATACATCTCTACAGAAGTCGGAATCTTAGTTCAAAGTAATTTGCGCTTGTTAAATCCGTTATCGTAATCATAAAAGGCAAGCGTTTCCGTCGTTAATGTACTTTTAAGTGAATTTCATTCTTCGAAAATTAATTCAAATAATAAATTTAAACGGAGCCTAGATTCAATATTGGATTAATGAAGCAAAGCCTCGACATATTATATGGAGGCCAAGGCGAAGCATGACAAATGTAACGCTTGGCCGGCTTTGACTATAAATGATCGTGTCTGTTTGGCTTTCTGAAGTAAAGAATATCGACATGATAAGTGTTTCAGTGGCCCTCGTGGTCTTACCTGACTGAGATGATGATTCATATGGCTCAGTAAACCCGCCTAACACAGGCTGTGAATTTATTTCTTGTGGATGATCAGGGTTTTCTGATGTTTCGGGAATACACTCTTGCTTTCCTTCATAAACTGGATTTTCTTCTAATCCATTACTGGAATCCTCAACGGATTGAATTATCTCTTCTTCGTTTTGCCTTGAGAGACCAGATGTACTTCTTTCCACCTCGACTCGTGATGCACTAACATGCATTTCTTCTTTGTAACGGGTTTGGCCCAATGGATGTTCAGACTCCTAGAGTGTTGTATAAGGAAAAAAAGTTTGATTAAGTTCTTATAGTAAACTGACGCACTGCAAATGTTCAGAACTTTACTGAAAAAAAAAATACTGATGTCTAAATGTTATTTTACACCTCGTAACTAGAATTTACTGTCAAATGAAGGATTAAGTGAAAAACACTATAGTTATGACGAATGTCAAGGTTATGGTATAATATTATCAATCAGGTATTGTTTACCTCATTTCGTGCAATTTCGTCGACGTTAACTTGACAAGCCACGTCTTTCGTTTCTACTTTTGGTGGTTCTATGGCTTGTGTAGGAGGCTGTTCAAGCTGGGCTGGCCTACAGCACTTGCAGACAACAATTTCCTTCAGTGTTTCCCCAATGGGAGTCAGCCAGTCACCTCCGCCTTCTGAGGCAGTTTTCCCCTCCCTTGTTCCTTCAAGTAGAAAAAGAAACAAAACGAAAATTGAATATAGGTGGCTATTGCGGGCCCAAGCCGGGGTCGTTAAACAAGAGGCCAAACACACAAGTTGTAATAATGAATATTTCTCGTTGTTATGATAACAAACGTTTTAAGCGAAGCTCCTCTGGCCATTTTTTTTCTTAATTTTACTCCTCTCGGCAACATTATTAATCCGATTTAGTATCATACTATTGTATCATTTTAAAAAAGAAATGGTTTTCTGGTTCGCTTAAAAAAGAGCGAAACTCCTCAGTAAGCTGAGCTATCCCTTAGTGTTTTGGAAAAGCAATTTAATGAAGGTTTATGTGTTTAATGAAGGTTTATGTGTTGCCATCATTGTTTTTGAATAGGGTGTCACTTTTTCCGGTTCGAGTAGGGTAAATAGGGTATATAAACTTTCATTTGTCTCATCCTTAAGTATGGTCAGGGTTAACGAACCTGGGCCGCACGCAACTACCCCAATTTTATGGTAGTAATCCCTCCGCCGGGGGACAAAGCCATTGTCATCTTACATCCCCAGGGTTTGGCTACAGCGGAAGAAAGCACTGAGTATGATTAGTCCTTTAAAACTTACCCCAAGATCTGTCTGTTAGATTGCATAGAGAAAAAATGGTCAGAAGTAGATAACCAGATGGCAAACAAAGGAGATACCAAACACCATGTAGCAGACACATGAATTCTTTCGGGTGCAACAGGGCTGCGGCAAAAAAGATCCCGGATAATCCAGCCAAGTATAACGTGCTTATTCCTGCGGGAAGGTGATGTTCCAGAGGTTTCGGCGCAGCAGTGACATTCTCGTTTGGTTTAGACGTAGGTGCGGCAGTAGGCTCGATTTCCCGTTCGCTTAATTCTTTTGAGATTTGAACAGCTACACCGACAGAAACAATACACATGATCACAGAAAACACGAATGTGAGTAGCTTTGAAACCTTCAGCTGGAAGCTTTGTGTGGCGAAGAGACATACTAGGGTGTAAGCAAGAACCACCAGGCAGAGAAGTATAATTACGGTTATTTCACTCAAGCCAATCCCTGCATACACCATTCCACCAACTATCACCAGAAGTACCGTAGACGGCCTGAATGGGAGGAGAAAAAATAATTAAAAAAGGAGAATGTTTTTACTAAAACAAAGTGTTCAGTTGGCAAAGGGTTTCTAACATTCTGAATGGCTGTCTTTCTTTATTTTATTTTATTTTATTTTTTTACTGCATTGGGTAAAAAGTATCATTATTTTTTATATTCACTCAATAAATTGATCTAGATTTATGAGGGAGGAAGGTCAAAGAGCAGCAAGGGACAGGGAAATAATTTTAAAACAATTATTCCTCGAACCTGAATGGGCTCTGAGTCAATAGCCCATGAGGCCGAAGCCCTAAAACCCTAAACTTAATAATTTTCAGGTGTGCAAACTCCCATATCCCCCTCCTAACTAACGTTTCTTCCCGTGCGTACACTTTCAAAATCTCATGCTACGCTTCTGAATAGATATAAGCATAATATCCGTAAATCTTCCGCCCCTACAAGGTGAGGACATTAATTGGACTACATTAAAATTTGCTGCTGATACTTGGAACGCTTTGGACGTTTTTTTAAGGCAGACACCGTCCTTAGCAGCTTTTAAGCGCAGCTTATCTAAAGCTAAATTTTAATTCATACTTTTATCCTGTATTATAGGGCACATTATATTATAAATTATACTATTAGGGCTCTATTTTTTTTGTACTAATAACGTAAACTATTTTCAGCTTATGGTTTAGTCTTTAAAGAGGACCCCTCTGTAAACCACTAATAATAATAACAAGAATTATTATTATTATTATTATTATTATTATTATTATTATTATTAGGCTCATGACTGTCCTCTGTACGTACTTACCCAATAACAGTGGAACAGACAAGAAATGTTTGGTAAACAATGAACAAGAAGGAGATGTGTTCATTAGTCTTTAGTGTCAGCTTCCACTCACTCACAAGCAGAACCAGGTTGGCTAACGAGGAAGGAGCCCATCTACGCCTTTGTTTGTAAAATTCATCGAAGCTTTCAGGGCAGTAGGTGCTGTCAACTGCGGCGGCGCAGTATGTGAGGCGCCAGCCCTTCTGTAACATCAGCGTACACATCCAGCGATCTTCCCCTGAAAAAAGTGATACATTGTATAGGAAGAGTACTTAATGAAAAACGTTAAGACCGCTGTTATACTTTTCGTACAATAGTGATTCTACCTGATAAGAGATGCTTCCCTTCCAACCGAACATTTTTCCGCGTTTCTTAAAGACAGTTTTTTTTAACATTTTTGGCCAACGGTTTATTTTGAAGCCCCACATAAGGTAGGATATTTTTTACTTATCTGCTGGCTCCACCATCTGCAACTATCTGAAGGAAAAACTAACCAGAGCCCGAAGGATTGGTAATTATCACGCTGAATTGACTGAATCATTATGAAGAGAGCCAATTATCGCCAGAACAGACTTTGCAAATCACAGACAACAAGGAGAATATGATTTTTGGTATTGTAATATGTTCCTTTCACGTACCGATGAAAAAGATTCAGCTACACCCTATCTAGAATTCTTTATTTTGTAAATGCCAAAGAAAAGAAATAAAAAAGATATTTAATTTTGCTTTATGACTTATTTGCTTTTCCTAAAACAAGATACCATTTTCCGTTTATTGGTTTTAGAAAAGGTGTCACTTTCATTTCTATTTCCCTTGAACAGAATCAGGGCTTAAGATCATTTACGGCTCAAACACCTTGCCCCCAGGGGTTCATACGTACTTAACCAACTAAGAGGAGAGTGCTAAGAGGCTCAAACAGTCATGAAATCACTTGGTTAGCCGCCATATGACTTATGACTTACCCATATCTTTGGTGAGAAAGTCAAAAGCATGGTCTACTTTTGTAGCGTAAGTCGGCAGAACGTCCCTAACAGCTTGGCAACGGTACAGACTAAAACAACCAGGGCTACACAGCACTGAACCAAACATGTGATTTGCTACCTGAAAAACGATACACCAACCACAAAGGAAGTCTGTGAATATTAATATACCGTGAACTCTCTCTTAAACGCCACGTCCGTCCTTATGTAAGGTAATCCAGTCTTGGAATCTGAATTCCGGCCGCGTTGTGAATTCCGTATTCCAGGTACTGGATTCCAGATTCCTTACAAGTGGAACTTGGGCCTGGATTCCGATTGTTAATGGGATTCCGGATTCCTTGAGCTGAATTTCGGATTCCAAACTCCAGGATTCCAGATTCCACAAGAAAAAAAATTCACAGATTCTGGAATCCGGATTACCTTACACGGGGCTCCCCTAGGCCAACATTTTGCCTTAAGTAAGAAGTAAGTGTTAATGTTGGCTTGGGGGAGGGGTAGGTGGGCAGTTTCCCAGAAACATATTATGATCCGCCAAGGTTTCGAAAAGTGATGGGGCTCTTCAGTTATGACACTACTTGTACCTATACAAAAAGAATAACTACAACAACTGATGGTGGAATTTAAAAAATATTCAATCAATAGTTCGTGAATTCTATGACGCTTAACTTGACTTAATTCTCCTGTAAGTCAAATCTAGTGATATACATACCTTTTGAAACCAATGACCAATGGCGTAGTCGAAGATCTGGTACCAGACTATAGGCCCGCTTCCCAATGGATGTGTACGAGCACAAACTGCTCCAACCCCGGGATCTTCAATAATCTGGTCTATTAACGCTTCAACTGAGTCATGGGTGAACTTGACGTCAGCATCGGTGGTAAGAATATAGCATTGATCGTCGCGCGCTGAAAAGTTACGTTTTTAATCAATAAATCAATGCATAGATCCAAGAGGAAGTGATAGGATGATTCTTCAAAATTAATAGTAAGATAGAGATTTCATCTCTTTTTTTGTACCCCATTTTTCGGATGTTTTAAACAATGTTCTCTTTCTAGCAGTTTCTTATTAAGTTTGAAACTAAAAAGTTAGCAATACCGGCTGAATTAAAATTGTCAAAGTTGCCGAGTCAGTTATTTGAAATAACACCAGTTATACTTATCGAAACCTTATGAAAACCTTTACACCACCTTAGACCGAGTCGGACACCTACATTGTGCTTCGGGAAAGATGCGTTTAGTTCAGTGTTTTTTGTTTGTTTGTTTTTTTGCGTTTAGTTCATTGTTACCTTTCCCCTAAGCCAACATTTTGCCCTAAGTGAGAAGAAAGTGTTAATGTTGGCTTAGGGGAGGGGTAGGTGGGCAGTTTCCTAGAGACGTAAAATGATCCACCAAGGTTACGAAAAGTGATGGGGCTCTTTAGTTATGATACTAGTTGAATTTAAACAAAAAGAACAACTGCAATAACTGATGGTGAAATTTCAAAATATTAATTCGCCACATGTAAGGGAATCCGGATTCCGAAATCCGGGAAATTTGGGCTTGTGGAATCCGAAATGCTGGGATTTGGAATCCGGAATCCAAGTTCCCATGATGAAGAATCTGGAATCCAGTTCCTGGAATACAGAATCCAAGGAATGGGATCCAGAATCCAAGACGGTCTTAGAGCCCTTACATGGGGCGATACTTTGTTGTGTTACACTTCTCACCGTTAAGACGATTCTGTTGGTAATCCAACACATAGGACATATACATGACCTGACTCCATCGCTTTTTATTCTTTACCTGCAAAGATATGAATTCCATATTAAAGATACTTAGAAGAAATGGGCATTCTTAAAGCTGAGTGAGCAAGCTATTTCAATAGACCCATCCACAGTGTCCCTTTATACTGAACCTTTTTTAAAATATTCCAGGCTTACTTTAGTATTGTCTTTCAGGTGAATCGTGAATTCCATTCCTCCAGGCAGGTTCCATTTAAGCTGTATACCATAAGGGGTCATTACTTTGTAGCAGGAACGTAGTTGCACTTTTAATGTTTCTTCCACCAGTGAAGCCAACTGCAACGCATAATCAGTGAGGACGTCTCCTCTGACTCCTCCATCAAAGAAAACGTGGGATTCATAATGGCGTTTAGCTTTTGTTTTGTTCTTGTCCATCTCATGAATCGATTCAAGGAGTTGTTTCATTTCATAGTCTGCTTCGTGGTACATCGTAGTGCAGATGAACACAGTCACGTTGCGTGAGAGATTCCGTTGTATAACGTCTTCCTCATCAGATGCTCGGCTGCGCCTGTTCATCAATAGATACTGCTCAAGGTAGACACCTATACATAAACCATACAATAGATATTAAGTTATAATTATCAACAGGAATATCAAGTGATAAAATATCAGCATTTTGCTTAGTTCTTTCAAGAGGTAGGGATCACGACCTTTCTTAATACTATGTAGTGCGCGCGTGAACCAGCGTCATTTTGGCGAAAAAACATGCATGAATTTGACAGAACGTCGTACAACCTCATTCCCGGGGTCCTCTCCTACTCGTAGAATGTCGTAGTAACGTAAAGAAGTCATCAAATGTTAGAATTTTTATCATTTTGCAATCTCAGGAGAAGGTTTAACCTCCTTCGATAAAAACAACCATGTTAACATTTTTGGTGAAAAAAGTAATATGATAATATTTATAATCTCGTTCTCGTAGTCGATCGGACATTACACAAAGTCATCGGAAAGAAAGTGAAACAGCATCAAAAATATAAGGTGCCTTCAGAACTAGGAAGTCCTCAGCTAAGTACAGTGAAACCTCTATTAAGCAGACACCTGCTTATGGACCTTCCAAGTGTTTGCCTAATTATGGTTCATAAAAATTGTGCAATGTTTGTTAACGATTAACGTTCAACGGTTAACTCTGTACTGTGATAAAGTTCCATGTTGTTAAGGAAGCAAAGAAGCTAAGAAAGCTGTACTGTACTTTCTGCAAGACAGTTTAGGTGAACCTTGATCGCGGATGACAATCATACGGCCAGTTATCGGTCTAATCTACAGTTTATTGACAGCTAAATGTATTGATTTATCTTTATTAATCAGATTAATCGACTACAGTACGAATTTCAAGGACGTAATCCAATACTACATATGTCAATCCAGTCCGGTGTCCGCTTAATAGAGGCTGTAAACAATAAAAAATTAGCCAAATACAATTTACTTTAGTGTCCGCGTCCGCTTAATAGAGGAGTCCGCTGAATAGGGAGGGGCTCTTTATAAAGGAAAATATAAGACGTTAATTTCGGGACCCGGCTTAGTGTCCTCTTAATAGAGGGTGTCCGCTTAATTGGGGGTCCGCTTTCGGTTTCACTGTATTTATATTTCGAGCATCCTGACTGCAGAACTTACCATTATACGATGGTATCCAAAACAGGTCGTGGGCGCTTGCCATAATAAAACCGCGACTTTTCCACAGGTAGTACGTAGTGACCATGAACTGTGCCAGCCACAGCGGCAGCCCGCCACCTGCTAGAGTGTAAAGTTGGTTATCTGATCTACACGATAACGGAATCATGTTCGTATCGCAAAACCCTGCGACGTTTGTTATGAAAATGGCGATGGGCGTGGCTAGGGTCAAGGGAAGGGCGTATCCAGTCTGCTGCATACGGAGTGAACAGGCAAGCCAACCAAGATGGTAGGCAAAGAAGCTGGAAAAGATGTGCAGCATAAAGTACACAAACGACGAGTTTGACGAACTAAATGCCCTAAAACCTTCGGACATGCCGCCCAGCTCTACGATGTTGCAAATTTTGGCAAACACTAAGGCAACGAAAGGTGTTAGAAAGAGTTTCCATAAAGAAATGACAATAGCAGCTTTTCCACGGGCAGTAATTTTGGCCGCATTCGCCACATCCTCACTCGCATTCTCGTCGTCACTTTGATCGGAGACCTGGTTACTGGTTTCTATTTGCAGTTTCCGCAGTTTAGGAGACCAGACGATGGAAAGAACAACAAGGGCAATAATCGCATAAGGTATCTGAAAGAACAACGATTTCCAAGTTAAGCCTGCACGACATGAGAATTTAAATTTAAAAAAAAAGGAAAATGGTCACAAGCTTTCGAAGCTTGAGTTTCTGAGATCCTTTGTAGTATCCTCTTATTTAGTTGTTTCCCTGAATGTCCCAGCATTCTGTTTTGTTTTAGGGTTAGGTGCCATTGTTAATCCTGTTCGTTGTTCTCTTAACCAATCCTGTGAGGCCTTGTTACATCTGGGACGCGCCTCATCCTTTAGGTAGAAAAGCTTTGGATATCCCAGAAATAGTTGCGCCTAAAGTATGTACCCGCCCATTCCTTCCGACTTAATAGGAGAATTACAATTTAACGATGAAAGATGGGTCAATTACTTGCTGCGCGGAGGGGCGGAGGGGGGGGGGGGGGGGGGGGTTCTTCTTTAAAACGCCTTTACGGGGGAGCCCGCGCGTGAGGGGGTCATTTTTGTGGGCCGATTGAGGGGGGGGGGTTGCGTTTTTATTAGTCTTTTCGTGTAGTTACTTTGTGATGGTCAGCTTTTTGTTGCTGGAAAGACTCTGTAGATCACCAAAAACTGTGCGCTACAATAATTCCCCCCCCCTCTTTTCCTCCGTATAGAGAGGAAATTAAATGTGGAGGGAAGGAGGGGGGGGTAGTTTCGCGGGGGGGGGGGGGGGGGGGGGGGGGGGGGGGGTGGTTACTCCTTATAACGGCCTATACGGGGAGACTCAGTCCGAAAGGGATACTTTTGCCTGGCGTATGAAAGGGTAGGGATTTCCCTGTTAGATCTCGTTTACGTACATACACTGTTTAAAGGTAGCCATTAAAACTCCTGAAGGAGGATTACTCTCCTTACAGATAACCCACCCAGCCCAGGAAAGGTTGGCCACACCACCAGGGTCTACATTCCTTACTCTTTTCGAACAGTGATGTGGGTTCTTTTACGTACGTCACACAAGAACCAGATAAGTGAAAGTGCTGTGAGACGGGAACAACAGTTTTTCGTCCTTATCCGAGAAGACTAGAAAGTCTACTACCAATTGCAGCTGTCATTACAAAGGTAGCACAGTCTTCTTATTATTCAAAGACCCGGAGTGTTGGTCCGGCCGGGGTTTGAACCCGCGACCTCTCCCGCTCAGCACAGACTGGCGTTCTCCCAGCTGAACTAACCATGCGGCGGTAGATACGAAAGGGTTGGGAAATCTGTCCGTGACGGTCGGTAAAATAGGCCCAACGGTTAAAAGACGCATTTTTTGGTTGAGAAAACGCACTGATTTTGTGATCAGGGCCTTAGGGCCGTACAAAACTTTGTTGAGTACCCCCCGGGACTTGCTGTCAATGCTGCACCCTTCTTGACTTCAATTATCCCTTGTAATCTCTGAATTTTATTTTGAATATAAATTCTAAACTTTATAAAGAAAGCTTAGCAAAATTTTCAGTAGAGTTTTCTTGTTTACCTCGTACTTGTAACACAAAAGTGAAACACCAGCTGCCCCAAACACCGCACTAATTCCGAACCGAATGGCTTCCAATTTTCCAGTCTTCGTGTTCCACTGTGATCTTGATTTGATGAAGTGCCACAATGTGAAGCCCAGAGGTAAACTGCATGGCAGCAAAATCATGACGTCTGAGTTGAGTGGTTTTACTTTTAGCATAGCAACAATGGTGATATAACTAAGAGAAACGGTCTCCAGGAAGCCACCAATAAATATCTGAAAAAGAAATAAGGACTTGAATTTTGTTAAAGCCGTGAAACAAGTCAAATTAGACCTATAAAGCCCAGTGAAAAGGCCTTTTGGCCAACAACTCCCAAAATATTTGGATGATAAATTTTGCGTCCATTTGCACACACTGTTGCATGTTGTTGCGTGTTGTTGGGAGTTGCTGCACAAAGTTTGAAACTGGTCAAACTTTTTAACCAAAAACTGCCAACATTTCTTTTGTTCCGTGATCGGCCGAAGCGTATCGCAACAATATTGCATCCATTTGCACACCTCTTCTGACATTTTTGGGACCACGCTCGCGCATTGCACATTGGTCTCCTTGGCCCAAGGAGATAATAAAAGTTTATAAAGTATTGTGGGGGTGTGTTCGAGCAACTCGCTTGCTACACGACGAGGTACCAGGAATCTGATTTACATCCTGGCCTTTATTCTTCTTATTCTTCTTACAACTTCTGCTTACTCTACTCCTACTCTACTTCTACTACATCTATATACTTAGTTCAAGTATAGTAGCGGTATTAATAGCCAAAGCTGGACGTGACTGGGTTGGCTGGCCGGAAGAGTTTCTATTGTATTTCTTATCGCTAACATTGCAACAGGTTTGCTATTGTCAGGGAATAGACTAGCCTACGCACAGCCGCAGCTGATAAGTACCGAAGAACGAAGGTCAGCTCTAACACCACAAACACGACCACCTGTAACATTCCTAATATGGCAATAAGTAAATTCGCGAGCTAAGCATAACTTCAAATACAAGTAAAAACAAAAGATCAAAATAGGAAAACAGTGCGTGGACAAAATCAAGACTTAATAAAACAAAAACTAAACTTAAAAGACAAGGTAAATCCGTCTTAAAAATAACTTTCAAAATACTTCACAACAGTATTATGGGTTGTATCGTTCCCTCGACGCACTGGCTGTCCCAATATTGTGTTGGGAATTGTCGCATTCGTTGCATTCTTGCATACCACTGCCAACACGGACGCAACAATTCCAAACATTTCAGTTGGTTAAACACAAATAGTTAGCGTTAGAGGGCGTGAGCTGAATGAAACAGAAAATGCCAGAAACAAACCCGGATTTAAAATAAATTTTTCTATAGCACATGCATCTTTTGTTGGAGAAAAGACACAAGTCCCTGACAGACGCCTCCAAAGTTCGGTTCAGCTGTAAAGATAATAATGTTTTAACTTTATGACTGAGCAAATGAGATGACGCAGGAAATCTCTCACATAGCCAGTACTGACCTGTTTATCCAACCTTGTTAAGTTTAGGGAAGAGGAACTATTTGAGAGAGAGTGTAAGAAGTTGCACGTTTGTGGTCTATTGTCACGCCTCCGAGAAACCTACGCTAAAGGAGCTGCATCATAAAATTTACCAAAATTTAAACAGTGGAAACTGCTACCAAATAGAGTGGAGTATGAAAATTACCGCTCAAAACGTAAACACAAGGAGACACGGATGCACAAACATGAAAAAGATTTAAAAGGATTGCCATTGAGGTTTTGGAAAGGAACAGTTTTTCGGTTCTTTGTTGCTGCTGACGCGTTTGATACGACGCTTAGGGGACATATTTGTTTGTAACGAAGCTGGGATTTGTTCAAGTTTCTTAGCGAATAAGGACGTCAGTAATTCATATAAACAAACTGAACTAGCCAGCCATGACACAACGGCCTTTTAAACGAATCTCATTTAACATGTCATGCTAGACTGATGTTACTCGAAGCACGACATTCAGAGCCCTTGTTCATGCCTTACTACTTCTTTTATCTCGGGTACTATCAATGATTAGGGGTCAAAAGCAACGTTTATTACAATGCAAAAGATCGATTCCCCTTAACGGTAATCAATTTGTAATATTTGTTGCCGAATTCTAATTAACTGTTATTAATTTATAAATAAATAAAAAATAATAATTAACAGAGAGTCAAAGTGATAAAAATGAATTTGTAGCGAAACGTATAACTACTCTGACCGCCATCATTGCTCTCTGAAAGCACTTATGTCGACGGCAATAACAAGAGTATTTCATTGTAAAGATTTTACATCGCCAGGATTTTAGACATCAGCGAGCTTTAGCATATTTTAAGTTTTCCGTGTATTATAACATTTACGGACGTGTCACCTTCAAACCCGTTCTAGACAGCCTACGCAAGACTGGCCGGGGTCTTTTCCAAAATACCTTTCTAGTTTGCTCACTTATTTCAACGTGTCATAAAGACTCATTATGACGCCTAAATGGTTTCAGAGGAGACCCGCGCTAGGGTCTATGTATGTTAGAAATGTTGGAGAATCTTCCATCATTATTATATAAAGACACTTACACTGAGATCATTATTGCATGCATCCTGTCACGCGGAATTCAAAACGAAGCATCTTTCCTCATACTAGTAACTCCAAAAGAATTCTCAAAGATAATGTTCAAATCGAAACAGGGATTGTCCGTTTTCAGTAATTTTTGCACTGCAACGACAAGATTTGAACTCAGCGAAAGATGGCTAAGTTCCAGTCTATCTCCCTTTTGGTAAATTGAAGTCCAAGATAGATCGGAGTAAATTTGTTCTAAACAATGACCAAACGTTTATTCTTCGAGTTCTCTTTAACTCATGCAAGTTTTAAGAGTTCTGAACCGCCGAAAATAACTGAAAGATTCATCCTGCGGCGAGCATTTACGCTCTCCTTTAGGAGATCGACTGCGGCGCCACTGAACCGCGAACCGAATAAAGAACTTGTTTATAGGCTAAGACCAAATCGTGACATAACTACAATGTGCTTAAAGTATCATAAACAACAGACTAATATTGATTAAGTCGTGACTCCCACTACACAAATGATCCTATATAACTCCTGCCTACTAAACAGGTACCTTTTTGGATAAAGATTGACTGACTTGTTCAATGAAAACAAAATCAAAGGGATATTGTACCGTCAGGGTGGTGGAATTTGTTTTTTAATTTGTCGATTACTCCATTCTAGACCTAAATAATAAAATAAAAGTTTTAGAAATGAAATAGATGTTTCCCGAAGGCTAGAAATCGAAGGAAAAATATGAGAAAAACAATTTCGGAATAACTGCACTTACGCGGCTAAACATTTTAAGCTAGAAAAAAAAGGGATCGTAATAATCCTTCTTTATCTTTTTCAATTTTGTCTATCCATGCTTTCATTTGAAATTAACTGCACTCTGGTTTCTGTTCCTTCCCTTTGTTTAAGGTGATATTACACAGCACGATTCGCAACAACGATTTTTAGGGCAACACAGCGTTGCAATGTTGGAACGATGTTGTGGCTATTCAAAAACAATGTCGCAACAATGTAGCAACGCTTTGTGCTAAAAATCGTTGTTGCGGATCCGAGTCGTGTATACCTTTAGTTCGTTATTCCGGCAGTATACTTTTCGCTTATTGTTAAGGTATAGTGAAATTGGTTTTCAGTGCGTGACACAGCTCCTTTACGGCAATAATTACGATGGGGTTTTGAGAGTTTTTACAAAGCCATGGTAATACATTCATTACTCGCTCAATCAGGAGGAAGTGAATTAATTGATGTGTGTTACCGCATTTTTATGCGAATATCATGTAAAATAGCAAGGAACAAAAAGCTTGACACAAAGACAAAAATATTTTTAAAAGATGTAAATACCACGTTGATATGGTATGCACGTACAAATTCATGATTGTCATCAATCAATCATACCCGGAATTAAGATGTTAGATTCACGGTTAGTAATGTTTCAGACGGTTGGTTATTGTTATTAAATTGATTGGCAGTAGTTTTGACCCTGATCTTTCAAACGCTTTTCATTGTCCGCCAGCAAATCAATAGCTTTCAATTCTTTTGTCGCTATTATCTTCCTTGTGCATCGACTGTAAAAACTGCTTTTCAACCAATTTTCTTCGAAACATATCAAATCCTTTCCGGTGACCAATAGTTGCTTTGCTTGGGCTAATATTGATTTTCTTAAAAATCTGATCCTTGCTTTTGATTAATTTCCCGTCTTAATTTGGGCATTAGCTAGTAAACTGAATATGTCAAATATATAACAAAATGTATTGGGTAAATCCTGTATCCTTTGACGTTTATTGAGGTTCGCTAAAACGAAGCAAAAAATCGACCACAATTTTCCTCCTCTTTTCAACCAATATAATCAGAATGTGCTAACCGAACAAGTGGTACTCGAGCTGCAGTATTCAGTAGTGGTATTCAATGCATTGTATAACCTCTTATAGTACGTAGAAAGATGCCAAAATGTTTAAACTTAAAGTGGAACCACAAAATACCAGAAAGTGCTAGAGACTTTTTTGTAAGACCACAGGCCTGTCAGGCACGTGTTTCTACTTTGTTTCAAAACGTTTCGATGTCAATTTCCATGACTACGTGCCAGAGGTGTGTGGACAAACGAAAATTGTTGTCAATTTGCTTTTACGACACTATATGGGAAGTTTTAAGTCTTTTTCAGGCGACTGACCCTTGTAGGAAAATCGCGCGAGAGAAACAGAAAAACAAATCTGTCATGCCATGACATCACGTCAGTTTTCACTGAGCTCTCGATTGACTTTAGCTCTCGACCAATCATCGCGCGAGAAATCACTCTGTTGTCGAAAAAAGGAGATTCAAGTAGCAAAAAGTAACTGGTGGTCGGATATAACTCATAACACAGTTTACAACGTGTTCAAGCTCTACCCGCGTACGTTAAGCTCAGAAAACAATGCGAAAGTGTGATCTTATGAAAAGTACTATAGACAGATAATTTGTGCTTGAAAATTCTTTCAGTCAAGTAGCTCTAGACTATTCTTACTTTAGTGTGATAATTCAAACATGAATGACATAATCAGAATCTAAGGTAAATATCAATCTCTTAACGTCTCAGTAAGAATTACATGTATGCATACAAGTAAACTTACAGTTATGAAACCTTTCTGAGATGGCCACGGGTGACTTTTTCTCCTCAAACTTGTCCATGAAGCGTAAATGAGAGAAACGGCTTCAGGAATCATCAAAGCCAGAACAAGCATAAGAAATAATGCTTGCTTGCCTGCCTCTGTAGAAATGTTTCCATTATCACTTTTTCCAGTTGGGCTAAAATGTCCGTCGCTACTATTTACAGTTTGATTTAAAGTTCCGTTTCCAGTTTTTCCAACTTTGTCGTCTAAATCTTTGAAATTTTTTCCTAAGACCAACAAACAAATTCTACTTGCAACAACGCAGAATAACACTAACAAGGAAAGAAATACGGCCACAAACCACTTCACGATCCAGGGAAGAAAGGAATAACAATGTCTTTTTTCAGCCTTGTTGCTCAGCTCCAAAGTAGGTTCACTTTTGTCTATAGTAAATTCTGATTCACTCTTCTGAAAATAAACTGACTGATGACTTCTATACTGGCTGGCGGTCTCGTCGGACATCTTGCATCTAGGATTAGGCTTGCCTTTCTTCAGCTACATTCACGTATAAAGCACCTCTCTGTTATAAATCAAAGTGTCTTCCCACTTTAAGTTTTGTACGATTTGAACTTAATAACTCAGCTATTTGATTGCGCCTTGATGAGTAGACACTTACCCCTTTTATTCAATGAATCCCACATTGACGCAAATATGAAAACAGGGACGTTACGTTTCAACAATGGGCCGGGAATGCCACTGAGAACGTCACCAGTGAAAACTTCCCCCCTTCAAAATTTTCCGGGATTATTCCAACTGTATTTAATAATTATTTAAAAAATTTCAATCAGAGACCAAATAGTTACGGTAAAATTCACCGCCTTATCGTCTATGTTCTCAAAAAAACCAATAATCAGGTCGTTCGACCCCTGTCAGTAGTTGCGCAGAAAAACGGCATGAAAACTAAGAACATAGAAACGTTTCAAATCGTTGATATAGCTTTCGCTTGTTTTTTTATTGATGACGCTGACTAAGAGTAAAAAAGTGGCTTTTTGTTTCTCAATGAATTCTGCTCTGCAGTTTCCAAACAATAAACAAACCTGAAGGTGTACACTTAGCCTTGTCGTCGCCATGACTCGATGATTTTTGCAGTTTTTATACAGTGTTAATGAACCGTGGCAACGTTTAAAAGCGTTTCATGACCTGAGGCATGAGTGCTCATTAACATTTTAAAACGTGTTAATGAAATCGACAAAACGGGTGAATACTGGGGCCAACATTAAGCCGCAGTTACACTAGCAAGTTTTCGTCAGAAAGGAAAAGCTTCACTTAAAGGAAACCATGGCACTGTACGTGGAAAACTTGACAAATTTTTAGCCCACCGTCGGAAGGAAAATAAGAAACTTACTCGACGTGTAATTGTGGCTTTACCACATATGCACATATGAATAAATTTTAAAAAAGGAAGGCGGATTTAATAGCGAAGGAAAACAGTGTCAGAGCCTGCCAATATTGCGGAAGGCCACATTGCCTTCTCCGCTTCAATCTCTTTAATGTCTTACAAATAACGGCTGTGAGTTAAAGATACTCTGCTTTAAAAGAAAATAAAAGGATGAAGTATAGTGCAATAATATGGAATTATAACGACATATATGTTATAACTACATCTATATTATAACTATATATATATATATATATATATATATATATATATATATTATATATTTTAATCAGTTTATAATTAGGATTAGTCCATTTTAAACCAGATTAAATAAGAAACTGAGATAAAATGTAATGCTATTTCAGTTTAATAATATGTTATAATGAAATCGGGTGCACATTTTTCCGTTTTAATAATTCTACATTCTAGTACTGGATGTCCGATGTTTTCTTTTCTTAGTTTTAACGCTTTCGTTTTCTTTAATTTTATTTAGAATAGAATAGAGTCAGAATAATTTATTTAATGTCGAATCATAGGAAGTGTTTGCACAATCTTCCGAGCCAGAGGCTCATGTTAGAAACTCTCGACAAACTAAAAATACAAAACAAGATAAAATTTGAATTATGCATGCACAAATATAATGTTTTTTTAAAAAAATAACGTTAGAGTTGAAGACGATACGATCATGGTAAGTCTTATTTCACGTGTAGAGTGAAAAAGTGTTTTTTTTTTTTAAATAGGTTGTTAGCGTCGGATATTCTGGTAATGGACAGTTTATAAGCTTCACGTATACGGCAAACGGCAAACGTCAGATTCAAGTTGAGAATTAAATAGAAATTAAAATGAGCAGATAGAAACAGCTCATAACAATTCTTATGGATAAATAATTGCGTGAAACTACTCATTTATGTGTAGAAATAATGAACAGTAAACGACAAGTAAAGGGGAAGCTTGATCACGTAGTACAATCATTTCGCGTTTGCCATACGACGTCTAGCAGGGTGAGAGATTAGTTGTTTTTGAAACAACGGTTGGTCTGGTTTGCAAGTGTAAATTTAAAAGATTTTTTCGGTACCCCGCCGTAGCTAAAATAGATGCAGCCCTGACAACATTGAGGCAACAAACAATAAAACGAAACTTACAACTTTTAGTTGTTTAGGATGGAATTGTTTTGTAGGCCGTATATACTATGCTTTCAGTGTGTACGTGGGCGGATGTCATGTACACATTTCTTTACTATTCTATCCACGTTTTTGTCCGTTGAGGTTTATGACGTGGGCTCATTGTCAGTAAATATGAAGTTCATTTCACTGTAGCTTCTGGTGGATTCTGAGAGCTAAATTGAGAGGAATATGGCACTTTCAGTTTAGTATGAATTAAGTGGCAGGGTGAAGAGTGTATTAATTAACAATTGAGGCTCAGTATCATATGAAGAATTATGGAGATCGAGGAGGGTGTTATCCGTCGAGGCCGTAGGCTGAGGCGGATAACAGTCTCCGAGAACTTAACAATTCTTCATATGATACTCAGCCTCATTCATTAATTGTTAAATATTCGGGCAATGGCACACCAGTAGCGACGGAGCGAATCACAGATCTCAAACCTTTTTTTGGGATTTTCATTGGATCCTGAGATTGTCGACAAGCCAGTTGATGTCTTTATTATCAGGAGATTTTTCCGTAGAGACGACCCCTTTCGAGGGTTAATCAGAGGAAAAAAAAAAGTATTTTCCCCAGTTCACGTTTGTTGTAAAATAAATAGCTTGGTGCCTGGTTTGAACGAGTTTGTAGTCTGTGTTGAGAATTGAGAACTTAAGATCATGGTCAACAATTCAGCTAAACCGAGTAACTCCTTCAGTAGGATGGCTAACTGTTGCTAGAAAAAAAAATTTTTAGTAAAATGTAGCACGTTCGGCGGCAGTAAGGTTTGGCCCTTACCAACGATTGATTAAGGCAATTATTATTTTTATTATAAATTATTGATGATGATCTCGATGATTTTGTCACTGCGAAAACATGCTAGTGGGTATTTGTAATATCGCTTTGAAAATTCATCAATTTCAAGCGTAATATTCAGTACCCCTGTCCATAACAACTGTGGCTGATCCTTTTTTTCTGCAGTGCGCAGAAGACAAGTATTTGTTTCCGTTCTTAAGTTTGCGGCAGCATTCCCAGTATTAAGTAAGGCATTATTTTAGCGTTGTTGTCAGTTTGAGCACTATTAACCATAATATGGTCAAAACACAGTTAGACACGTAAACTTAGGTCACTCTTTTCCTAGTCGAATTGGAAACAAGCGATTAAACAACATGCTCCTTACCGACAGCGGGTGGGGCTTACGAAATTTCATTTATTTAAATACCAATTATTATAGCGCCTCGATATAAAATATGTAATGATGTTACCGTAATTACTGTTATTATTATTATTATTATTATTATTATTATCATTATTATTATTGTTTTTGTTGTTGTTGTTGTCAGTGTATAACTCAAAACGTTAGTCAAAAAATTGGGAATAAAAGCATTGATTTATTCGTTCGTTCATTCATTTATTCAGCCGGGGTGGTTTTGTGGTTTTTCTCAGGAGGTTTTTGGTGTAGGCCAATAATGATTTTGCAATTCAATTTGAGGACAGAAAGTAGTCATCTAACAAAGTATATAAACTTGCGGGAATTGAGCATAATTGATGGTTTGATAAATGCGCCTTTGAAAAAGGGGTAAAGTATTGCGGTCCTTGGTAAAAAATAATGTCATCCATGCATGTGGCGCCTTCATTGTGTGGTGGGTAGGGGAAACGTGTTGAAGAGTCTGTTTCGAATTTTGCTAGAGTATAATTGGTATATAAATGAACCATTCTTGGGGTGGCAGTCAGGAGGAAAAAAACAGGGAGCCCAGGATAATCCTGACTATTTATTTATTTTGGTTAAAAGGGGAAAAAACCTGCGCTCAAGGAGAACGAAAAAATGATTGGTATCTTTTTCAATGTTTTGGTCACGAAACATGCATTCAACGGATATATTTGCTCGTTTTAAAATCATCTTTAATATCACGATCAAGAGTTCTATAGAATTTACTGTTGTTGAGTTATGTTTGGCATCCGTTGATTTTACTACTATTCCTTATCAGCTGTCGTAGCTCCTTTGTCCGTATGTTTCCGTTTTATTGTTTGTGGCAGTGCCCGCAAACACAACAAGGGGAAGAAATACTCGAGACAAAAAAAATAACATTAAGTTATACCCTAGCAAAATGTAGCCAATTTAAGCAATAAACCTTAAGAAAAAACTCAGTTACTTTGCCAAGACTTCTCTCTTTTTCTACACCACGTCATGATTTAACTGAACTCAAATCAGAGCAGGTTTCAATAAATCTAGCTGACGTATGCGACTCCTCTAGAACTTTCATGATTACACCCCCTCACACCAGTCCCATGTCAATCTGTCTCTTACCTAAAGGTACTTGGACTCCCTGGCTCCTTGACGAGAGCCTGTACTTGACAATTTCTTTGACACAGTGGAACATGACATACTCAACTTTAAACAAAAACCTGTACTGTAAGTTACAGCGTAGCTACAATCGAATAACACCCTTTTAAACTACTATTCAGAGTCTCGTCAGGCTGGCTAGTGAGGACGATGGAAGGCAGTTTATGCCATCTTGTCAGAGGACGTAACGACATTTTCAAATGGGCGGACAAGGTATTTACAGCCGCAGTTGTTATGCACAATGATTAGCACATTATGAATGGACGCCATAGACAACATAAAGACTCTAATTTCTTTAGAGCGTTTAATAACAATAACAATAACAATAATTTATTTAACCACGTTATCGTTTAAGAGCACAAGTGCTAGTTCAAAATACGAACGTGCATTAAATCTACAGTTATAATTATAATAACTAGTATTAAAAAAATATGTACACATGAATATAAAAAGTTATAAAAATAAAAAAAATATATAAAGATAAAAATTACAGCTGAACTGATCTTAGCTTGGACTTTAAAATATTAAGATTATAGGCCATCGTGACATCTGCTGGAAGTTTATTCCATAGTTGAGCGCACTTGTAAGTAAAAGAGTTCCT